TAGGGTTGGTACATTTTCAGTAAGACTCGATTTTCGATTCGTCGATTCTGGAATCGAAACCAAAAAATCGATTCTTTCAAAAATCGATTTTCTCCCCTTAAGAATCGATTTTCGATTCGATTCTCGATATTTTTGTCTATGCGTAGAAAGGCAATAGTTTGAGTGTGAAAGTGATTAGCAATGAAATGATGCAAAATCGTTTATTATGAAGAATATTAATGTGGCTCCTTGCCCTGATTAAAAGTAAGAATTATTGCATTTAAGAGTCAGAACATTCTCCAAACAGCGCTATATGCATGTGAATGTGTCCGGCGGGAAGGTCCTCCGACCCCGATCTGACTCTAGCACACTAATTTCAAACGTTGGACGTGGACCAGTTCCTCTTTCCAGTATAGCTAAAATGTCAAATTTTTGGTTGGTTCCCGGCGTATACAAGTGACCCCCGCGATTGGGGCTGATGTATGGTACCCTCGGCCTCGGCAACAATTCTGCGAAAGAAAATCGAAAATACTTGCTCGTCGTTCCGAAGGGCCTAAGTCCTCTTTGGCGACTTGACGTCACTCGCTACGGCAAACGATAATTCTTTCAGTCATCGATCACAGGCACTTTGAAGGAGGACCCCCCAGCGAACATTTAATGTAAATATGACTCACATGCGCCGCGCGCCGCCGCGAATTTACCGATTTGCCATCAGGAATGTTACCAACCAACGCCTCATAATGAAATAGGCAAGCCAAGATGGGGCCTGCGGCGCACTTGGCTGGCCCAAGAGGCGCGCGGAGATTCAAAATCAGGCAAATTTTTAAGAATCGAAAATCGACGCTGAGAATCGATTCTTTCGATTCTCCTGATGCGCGTAATCGATTCCGATTCGAATCGAAAATCGACGCGGGGAATCGATTTTCGATTCGAATCGGAATCGAATCGACCAACCCTACTCAAGGGAGGGCTCAACCACACCGCACAACAACTGTGCTCGCCCCCCACCCCCCTCTTTGGCACAATGGCCGATTTCTCGCAGTTTACCCGTGGTCACGTGGCACGGCCCCGAGCCTGTGGAGCACCATGGCAGGCGCCCCCGGTGGACAAGACAATGGCTCCCTGATTTGATTGCTCATCGCACACGAGAACGCCGCATAGGCCCGGTCCGGCCGGGGCCAGGTCGGCGGCGCGGCGGCGGATTGTACAGTGTGAGAGGCGGTCACACGCACAGAAACGAAACGGCACGTGAGAGCGTCGAGTGGGTGATGTACGAAGGGCGTAAAGGAAGAAAAGTATATCGCAGTGAACGGTAGAAGCACTCTCTCACACCGCCTGCACGAGCAGTTTGAGTGCTGTTATACAGTAGTTACAACCCCCCCCCCCCTCCACCTCTCTCGCTCCCCTCGCTCCCCAATCCACCCCTTTCCGCTGGTGCTTCTGCTCACTTCCTGCACCACCGGGACCGGGGGTAACAGTATAGACAAAGAGGGTGAAGGGGAGGGAAGGGGCGGGGGGAAGTGAGAGACAGAGGGGATGCGGTGGTGATGGAATTAAACGGCGCCGTGTAGTAAAACCACGACGATTAGAACGGGTTAATTGGAGGTCGCGGAGGGGGTGAGCGAGTGGGAGAGAGACGGAGAAACGGGGGGAGGGGAGAGGGCGGGCGGAGCGGAGAGCGAGGGCGAGAGGAGACGAGAGAGCACGAGCGGAGAGACGAGAGAAGGTGAAAAGAGAAACGAGAGAGGAGTCAGATAAGAACAGGAGACGCCGGCTGCGAAGTTGTTGTCACAGTGGCCGCTAGAGGGTGGGCTTGACGCAGCCGCGCAACGTCATCCTCAGGTCAAGGTTGAGGTTAGGATGCCTTTCGAAAAGGGAATAATAAAAATTGGTACTCACAGTGTCGCCGCGGTGTTGGAGTTGCCCGCTGCACTTCGGGAGGTCGACGGGCACGATCGCAGTCGCCGGGACTGTCGCTCTGGATGCTGGATGTTGTTGTGGTTAGGGGCTGGCCGCGGCCGCCGGTTGCTGGCGATGTCGCTGGTCTCCCGTGACTCGCGCCGCCGCGTTTGCTTGCTCGAAGCAGAACTACAACTTCTCGTAAGAAATTATTTGGCGGCCCGATTCACCCTTGCGCACTGATGATCTCCCAAAAATGCAATGATGAGCGAAATACCTTGAGCGGGGTGGACGACGTGTACGACTGCGGCTGACTACGGACGGACGGCTACGGCGTGGAGAGGAGGGAGGGCAGAGGGCGCTGCGTACGGCGCGGCAGCTCTTCAGGCGAGGCACGGCACGGCACGAAAGCTACAGCTCCGACCGAAACCAAATCCGCCAGCGCACTCGAAGCACACACACTTCCAAAATGGCACGGCGACAACGGCGTCGAAACCCAGGCCCTGGCCAAGCTTCAGCATCAGAAGTCTCTCAGAACATCCCAGCAAAGGTAGGCTGCTATTTGGCAATGAAAAACGTGGGGGAAGGGGGCGGACTGTTCAGGAACTTTTGCGAAGTGTTTCGTGTTTCACCTTGTAGTACAATCGCGCCACATCGGCGAGGGTGGGCACGCCCAGTTAACACAAAGGACTCACTAGTAATATTTCTGTTTCTGACTGTCAAAGTGAGTCTATATTTTTGCCTTAAATTTGACTAGCCAGTCAAAAGTGTGTAATTTTATGTTTGTTTGGCGTCTAACCACACTTTCATAAGATGCCCCCCCCCCCCCTGGTCGCCTGGTCTGCTGAAGGTGCAGACGCCGTCCGTCCAGGCATTCCGAGACGCCATTATCGCTGACTTTGAATCTGTTCGTTCGGCTGTCGATGAATCATAAAGTACCGTTTTTAATGGCCATTCTTGTTTTGAAATAATTGTTTTTGTGTGTTGAAAGTTTGTGTTATTTCAATTTCTGATCTTACGAATAGAGGTACAGAATGAGCGACTCCTCACAAATAGGTTATTTCAGTGAATCCCGGAGCCGAAATTAAGAAGTAACTGGAGTCACATGAAACAGTTCCTTCCGGCCCCGGGATCCACTGTACAAATGTGTGCTAGTGTTTCCCGCACCACTTTGTCACTCCTTTTATGTTATCAACTGTTAGGTTTAATGCCACCTTACTTTTTTTTTCATTTTTCACAGAACATGGAGCAGCTACCAGACGATGTGCTAATCATGGTGCTGCAGTACGTGGACCTCCCGGACCTCTTCACCTGCCGGCTCGTGAGCAAGAGGCTCGGGGCCTTGGCCGTGACGCCGGCTGTCTGGCGAGGCCGGCGTCTGCTACGCCCCCAGTGCGCCCGCTGGATCTGCCCAGTTTTGCGCACGGCGCCCAGCTTGTCGAGGTTAGACCTAGTCATCCCGGCCGGGGAGCCAGGGTGTTGTCAGCTGATGCTAGCCTCGACCAGGTGTGCTGTCACGGCCCTTAACATGCTAGTGTATGAACTCGGTGCCACGCAAGCTGCTCTAGTGATCCGGCGCCAAGAGGCGCTTGGCCGGCTGAGGGTTCTTACGGTGGTGTTATTAGGGGTGGGTGCAGCAGAGACCTCCATGCTGTTGGCGACAATAGCGTCAATGCCCGATCTCACGTGGCTCAGCGTTACAGGTACCTCAGCGAGTAAACCCAACCTCGATTCCCACTTCAGCTCGGTATCCACTGCAGCCCTAAGATGTTTCCGATTCCAACTATGGCCGGAATCAGCATCCTTCTGCAACTTCATAATAGCGGCGCACGCCAATGCCCTGGAAGAGGTTCACCTCGTGTGCCCTGACCGCGGTACTTCGTTCGCTACGTTGACCTCGATGGCACCCCTACTGGCAGGCTTGCCCGTCCTGCGTGAGCTATGCTGCCCCATGCTCCCGGGGCTGGAGGCCATGGCGGACTGCAAGTCGCTGAGGGAGCTGACTCTCTTCGTGCGGCCCGAGGACCGCCCTGGCGCCGGTGGGGCCGCGACGCTTCTCTCCCGCGCCAACCAGCTCCGCGCGGTCACCCTGGAATACATACCGTCAGCCAGCCACCCCGCCGACGTGGGCGTGAGCTTGGTGCTAGCCCTGGCCGCGTCCGGGCTCTCTACCGTCGAGTCGCTGACGATCCTGAACGGTTGGGCCGCCATGCCGCAGGTGCAGCCGCTGCTCACGGCGCTGCCCTTCCTCCGGTCCCTGCGCCACCTGGAGTTGTCTGCTCCACAAGACGCGCTTCTGCTGGGGATCACTCCCGCCTCGGCCCCGGCACTGCAAACCCTCGCGCTGCGCTACTCAAAGTGTGCTTATGGGGTGTTTATGCATCCTTGCGCTCACTCCTGGCTGCACTACGACGAAGTAAACACGCTGCTGTCCGTGAACCCCGAGCTCCAGCTGCTTGTAGCGCGCGGCTCGGGCCTCTATTGTAAAGACAGGATGTGTGCGACGTGTCAACGCGGCTGCCACTCAAAACTGAGAGATTGCAATCTGCAGCTAATCAAGGAGAAGATGCTCGTTCCTCGAAACATCCCTCAATAAAATAGTGTAGATACTGTGTTGTGCTGCGTTACCTTGATTTAGCCTCAGTTTTATTTTCGCTATTATGTGTTCTGTATGTCTTGTATCTGTAATTACATATTCATACAGAAAAATTATTCAGTGCCTTATTGTTGTGTCATACGCACCCCCTTGAAATCCTCGGCGTGTGTATGTGTTGGTGTGTGTGTCCGAATTCGGCCACCTATCGGTCGGTCTGCGAGCAGTCGGTGCGAGAGAGACTGTAGTTCAAGTGGATGCAATCTTTCTTTTTGTCGGTTGTCGCTGATCGCATCTCTGCTGTGTAAATGCGGGGGCCGAGGGGCAACTACATAACGCCAGTTCTTCAGGTTCGTTCTTCGCGCCCCGGCTCTTGTAAAAACTTTGGGTGGGAAGCGGTGTTGGCTGTGCGATGCGTCTGGTTATTTGGGAAGTACGAATGTGATCCGGAGGTCGAAATTGTGTACAGCACCGTGGTTTAACAAACCCACACACGACAGCGCACGGGGAACGGGGTTAGGAGGGGGGAAGACTTCTGGTCGAGACGGACTTAGGGACTGTCTTAAAACCTCACCTCCGCACAGCCGGTGCCTATAGCTGGTGCTCGGAGCGCCGAGCAGGCGGGCAGTCCCGGCGTGCGCGCGTGCGTGCGGGCTGCCGCCCCGCTCACACTGACATTGCGTCGACAGCGACGGCGACAGTTGGAGGGAAGAGCGAAAGAAGCTGTTTGTTTGTTTTTAGGGGGAAGGGGGGGGGGGTAGTTTATAAAGGGACTTGTTGTTATATCGGCTCTGCTGCTCCATCAAGGGCCACATCATGGTGCGCTCGGGCGGCCTGCGCTGCGGCACCTGCTGCAGAGTGGAGCCGCCGCTCCGCTCCGGCGTGGTGGTCGAGGCCGTGGAGAGGTGCCCGCCGCGGAGGGCGGCGTCGTGCTGAGCGGCAAGGGTTCGGCAAACAGTTGTTGGCGCAGCGCCGCCACCCCGCCGAGTTGCACGAGAGCGGAGGGCGTGAGCTACGCGGCCGAGGTTGAGCGGTAGGTCTTCTGACCTGCCAGCTCATCTCGATGGGTCAAAAATCTGAAAATGAAGTTTGGAAAAAAAACTGGCCCATGGGGGGATCGAACCCACGACCTTCGCGTTATTAGCACGACGCTCTAACCAACTGAGCTAATGGGCCGGTTGAACTCCGAGGAGCGCGTGAAGGAGCCACGTAGAACGGGTCTCCCCTCTGAGGCGCGTTCCCCCTCCACTTCCCGTTCGCGTCGACGGTGCGATGGGAGGGGGCGAAGAAGAGCAGGAGAGGGAGATAGGGAGTCAGCGCGGGAAAATTCGAATGGGCGCGGAACCGGTCCTCTTGTGAGGGTGATGCGGTTGCGAACCACCCACCACCACAGCCACTCCGTGGATGGTGCGGGGCGGGCGGCGGGCGCGCAATCTGCACATCTCCTCGATGTGCGCTCGGCGTACGCCCCGAGTCTGCACGGCCCGAATTAATGATGTTTAACTAAGCCGCCCCGAGTGCAAGTCAGCGCGGGGCGGAGCGAGTGCGATTGATGGGTTTAAAAGCAGAGCACATCACACCAAAAGGGAAAGAAACGCTCGAAAAGACGTCAAAGTGAAAGTGATGATCCTCTCATCAGCCGCCGTCGGGCCGCGCGCCGCGGGCGACGTGACGGGCGGCGCGTCGTATGCTCGAAAAACTGTCACCTCGAGTGTCTCCCTCTCTCTCTTTCTCTTGTCGCACCGCCGGTTGCGTGCGAGAGAGACCGCCCGACAAGTAGTCTCCTCGCCGTGGCGACAGAGCGCGATGAAGACACATGCAGTCGAGTCGACGACGGACGCGCCCCTCGCCCTCGC